CCAGTCGCCCCGTCAAATTGCGTGTGCATATCGGTTTGGACACCTGCTTCTATTTTTGAATTAATGCAATCTTAATACTATGTAGCTGAGGACCCTGGTTCCAGCCTTGCACATGTACGATGCACCTGCACTTGCAGCTTCCCTAAATGGGTCAGCTCTACAAATATCACGGATCTGGGAAGAAGTCGTGATACCCCACCCTCCAGCACACACACACACACGCACACACCCCAACCCCTCCTCTGCTTTCTACTCTCTTGGCGATAACAGAGCGAAACTACTGCCGGCAATGTCTATGAATCCTTTGTTTGTTACCAGCAAAGTCATGAAATCTGTATCAGCAGGATTACACACAAAATGCCGCCTGTTGTTATTTTTCTCATGAATGAATTTTTTCTAAGCTATGAAAAGCAGCCTTTGGTGTTCTGACAAGATATTAAAGTCATTATTTTTGGTGCCGTCAGTAGACAGCAGGAGAGAAAAATCCTCCCCCCCAACACCCCAGATCGGATGAGCATTCTTCCCACTTCCTGAACCTGGATTTTCAAGGAGGGAACAGTGCGATCTCTCCGGGTGGAAAATGCAAGGCAGCAAGACGAAACACCAAAAAAAAAAAAAAAGCACTGACCTTTCATGAGTGAGAATATATATTATTCTGTCTGCAAACTGTATTTTACACATTTCCTTTTGTCTGCAATGGAAGCTTGCAGTAGATGTAGAAGCTGATCCATTTAGTGGTTAAAACTGCAGCTTTTGTACCTGATGAGAATAAGTAAAACAGTCCGCTTGGTTCATATGTAGATGGTGTCAGCGATGTATGCAGAACAGGGCCCTAGAGATGAGAGTGTGTCTGGAATGGTGGGTCACATAGTACAATATATTAGCATTTCTCAGCTGCAGCTGCTGTATTTAGAATTAAAGCCTTTAGGAAAGTCAGAATAAAATATACCATATGACATCATAAAGGAAGAAACAGGCCACTGTCCTACCAAAGATGACTTGATGATAAACAGTATTCAGTACGTTTGCGTCGACATGTATGTATATATATGATTGTATGATTGCAATTTAAGTGTCAAAAGTAAATGAAAATAAATTATTAAATTTTAGAAAAGATCTTTTTAAATTGAAACCCCGCAAGCATCATATATACAACAATTTTTTTTTTTTTTTTTTTTTTTTACACTGATAAACCATTCATAAATGTGACCGGAGTGCACGTGATGCTATTGTGAATTTTTAACTGAGAATGATAAAAACAACCTACTTTGACCAATTGTAATGTGTGAGTGGTTCTGTGCTGCCGGAGGCTGCAGGCGACAGACTGATGGTCTGCACCACCTTGTGGTCAGTGTGCAACTGTTGTTACACTAACTAAACGGTGAAAACCTATTCAGCTCTGTAGTTAGTTGCAATTATCTCCAAAGGTTTAAATTTAAGAAGAAGAAAAAACCTTTACTGGACATTATTTTTAGCTAAATGCCACAGAAAAGCATATTTATCCCTAACAGTGCATTTCTCCTTAACTAAAACTAGAAATTTCTTCATGTGCAGAATCTGTTTTTAAAGGAAAATTGAAGCGATGAGGTTAGTATCAAATTATAAACACTTAATGCAAACAATTAAATAATGATTCCAACATATATCACCTCATCTTTAACTAAAACTAAATCATTTTTAATTGTCTGCTGTTTCTCTCATATACTCTGTGTTTCTCATTCACTGCACTCATTTGGATCGTCGATATCGCTAGCTTGTCCGCAAACAATAATATTCCTGCGGGAAACATGTACTATTAGAATATGTGGAATATTTCTGCTAAGTGGACATGACAACATAAAAATCAGAAATGTTATAGCAGGTTGTTAGCCAAGCAGAATTAGCAGTGCCTATTCTAATTACAGGAGGCTTTTGAAAAGTGATATTATGGCACATATTGTTGTTAAAGGCTTGACATATTTCTCGTTGTCACTCTACAAGAGCTTTCGTGGAAGCATGCTCTCCTATTCGTATTATTTTTGGGTCACCTGAGCAACCCGGCTTCATTAACAGTTTTCACTACAGCCTTATGGAGGACAATAATGGTTTTTAAACTGTTTACTTTGAAGTCATAAAATGAAGGCAAACGTGATATCGCACCAGAATGTCTTTGTTGTTCTTGAGAGAGAAATTGTCCACCACAGGAAAACAGCAAATCTCTCCACGCCGTATTTCTTGAAAAATCTTTTCTTTTTACTTCTTCTGCTCCTCCCCTCATTTTCTTTATGTTCTCTGTATTTGGCGCCTCCTGTGGCTGAAGTTATTATAATCCTATCTAACACGTAGTCTAGTGGTCCCGCAAATCAGGGCCATAGCTAAAGGTGGAAAAACAGAACTGAAAAAGTGCACAGTAAAAAAAGTCTTGCAGTCAAGCACACTGTGAGGTATATGAATTAGGATTTATTCCCTTCAGTGAGCCGTAGTTGGTCCCAGCAGCCTGTACCCTGTCCCAAAGCACTCACCCTGATAACTCTCAACTGTCTTTTTTAGCTCATTGTTTGTGGATCTTAAGCCAGGGGGTAATTCCAATAGGATGTGCACTTCTGACTTACGATCACAGAAGAAATGATTATTTTTCTCTCTGTTTTACAGAGGAATATTATTGGTATTGCACCACTTTATACTCAATCTTCTGTCTGCTTCTGCATAAAACAAAATCCAGCTCCTATCTGTTACTCTAAGCGTTCCCTTCCAGGTCCACAAGAAGAAGAAGAAGAAGAAGAAGAAGAAGAAGAAGAAGAAGAAGAAAAAGAAGAAGAAGAAGCACAAATAAGAAGAAGAAGAAGAAGAAGAAGCACAAATAAGAAGTTCGTATTTGGTCATAGACTTTATTGGACGTGTCCATGTTTCAATAACATATTCATTTTCACATGATATAGCTACATTGCATATAACATCTATTTCTCTTTTTACACTTAACTCAATAATCCACCATAAATTATACGACACATCGTCTTGTCTGCGACGATGAGGAACCTCGGGCGTTTGCACTTTTTCACATTTAGGGTGTAACGGTTTGAACATGAGAGGCATCAACTGACTGCTTTAACCCATTCACAGGTTCATAATGATCTTATATTTTCACAATGATTATACAGTGCAATAGGTAAACAATAAAGTCATCCGTATGAAAACAAACAAAAATGTACATTCACAGTCAAATATAGCCACAGTAAAGGATCCAAATTGGTGGAAACCCAAAGAAAAGGAAACTTCATTGCATTGCTGCCTCTGCTCATTCAGTGCACCTTGCATGTTTTATCAGAGTGGCAAAGAGGCCTCTGAGGGTAATATTTAAAAAAAAAAAAACAACCATCCATGGTAAATGCGATGGCTTGGTTTTACACATTGCTGATTTTGCTGATAGACTTGCGATAAATCAGACAATAATATGCGCCGACAGTGAGTTGCGTAATTTTAAAATTATACCCTGAATCACTTAATGCATAACATTACAAGCCCCATACTGTGGAACCTCATAGATTTTACAAAGGCAATGCCAAAAATAAGTAAAAGAGCCACTTGAATACCTTTAACGTAAAAACTGAACAATTCGCCAGCACACCTAACATCAACAAGCATGAAACAGCAGCAAGGGGGAGAAGCTCAGAACTCTTTACAGCACATCTATTCGGTTTGGACAATTTGCACATTAATGCACTGTTGAGCACAAGGAGTCACTGTGGCTACACGAACAGACCAATAAGCACAGGCAGCGTGAAGGAGAATCTGCAGAATCAATATTTTGTGATGACTCTCTACTTCTTTGAAAAAAAAAAACAGAACAGCAGGTTATTGCAGCTCTACATGATTATTCAAATGGAATGCACTCTCTTTGGAAGACATGGTTAGCGTCTGGTAACAAGAGTTGATTTCCACTAGTAACCTGGATTTCTGCTGCGATTATAGAAGACTTCTGCAGAGATCCTTCATTACAATTGTTTTGCTGCTATCATTGCACACACGACTCTCACAATAACATTCCTTGGCTGAGTATAAGGGTATGTCCCAGTGAAAAGAATAGGAAGCAGTGTTGGAAGTAGATGTTGAGATTCATAAAACAGACTCAGGTTTGGAGTGCAATGCAACCACCCCCTCTCCCTTTGAAAGTCATTGTAAAACCTGTTGACCGTTTTCTAACTCCCGGTCCGTGCTGCTCCCCTCTGCAGCTCAGCACCACCTCTGAGAGCGAGAATAAGTGAGCTGTCGCTCCATCAAGTGCCCCATCAAATAAACCTGAAAATGCAAACTTCACACATTTGTGTATGACATTGTTTTCAAGTAAGATTTTTGCTGAATATCTGTGCAAAAGTATCTTAAACAACAAAACATTTCACGTCAAGGCAAATGGAAAAAAAAGTAAAAAAAAAAAAAAAAAAAAGGCATGCATGTCCCTCATCGTCTGTAAACAGCCACATTGTGCCTGAAAATGGAAGAACCTCAGCCACGCCCGAGTGTCACAATCAAGTGGACATCCCTGAGACAGCTCCATTTGATCTGACGTTCTTGTCTGTCTAAGGCGTGCTTTCTTTTGTAATTTACTTATTTATTTATTTTTATTTTCCTTCTTAAGGTGAAGAGCGTTTCATTCATGTGCAGCGAAAATTAATGGAAGGAAAGCGGGAGTGACGACATACCCACGACACCTACGAAGCTACTTTACTGACTAATCCACTACATGTGACGACACAGTTACAAGCGCCGAAGTGAGATGCTGGAAACCGCAACAGTTGCCTCCTATTGACATGCAGCTACGACATCACCGTGAGCAGTCGAAACGGCTCGAACACATCTAGAGCGTCTGCTAACACTGCGGGGAGCTGTGGAAGTGGACTGTACAAAAATTATCGAGGCAGGTGGTGGTGGGGTTTTGCACCTTTCGAGTCAAATTCCGACGATATTGAGATAACCAATCTATTTTCATTTCTGCCGTAGCCCTCAAGAGATCAAAAAAAAATTTTTTTTTTTAATCAACAGCATTTTGCTATATGCTGATTATTGGGACTAAAATTCAGCTGCTGATATTAACGCGGATAACAACTTTTGAGTGGGTTATAGGAATGTGTTTTGTCAGAGGCACAGGATCCCCAAGATGGGGGTCGGTACCCCACTGGGGTTCACAAATCAGGATGTGTGAAATCTCAAAGCCTTCCTCCCAATCAAAGCAAATAGCAAAACGGTTCATGTTTAGCGTGTACTCATGCTTTAAGAGTATCATAATGTAAAATAACATAACAGCAAGAGATAAAATAACACATTTGTTGCTGATGTTATTTGTTTTGTCACTACATCACTGTTTAAATGACTTATAGGAATGCTTATCATTAATATCCCAGCTAAGCATGGGTTTCTTTAAGGTTTTCATGACATGATAACTTTGATGAAAATACCACAGTTTCATATATAGCAGCACCCTGTTAATGGAAAAAGTATACCACGCTATGAAATGGTAATACCTATTATTTAAAGCAGAAAAACAAAAATATATATATTAAGCCGCTTCAAAATTGAAGTAAAATGTTGATTATTACAGTTGCAAAAATGTGAAAAGTGGGGAGCAACAGATGTAAAATTGAGAGCTTGGTGCTACTTTACGCTTCAAACATCGGGAGAAAACTCGGGTCACTCTCTGCCATTTCATCAAAAATGCTTTAGAGGACAGGAACAGGAAGATGAAAAATGTTTGTGATCTAGTGGCCATTAACTTCATATCCCTTCGTGTGGGATCCTTCTCACTCCATATTGAGACTTTTAGCTGCTCCCATCTGACAGAAAATACATTCTGTCAAGATACAGAACAAATATGAAGAAACTATTTTGTCTCATTTACATTTTCTCTGAATGAGAGCTTGTTTTAATTTCATTAGGATTCGGTTGTTATTTGTTAGCAATTTTGGTTTAGTATTTAGCTGAGATGACTTTTTATACTTTTAGTGCTATCTCGATCTTTACTGTCTTGCTTTGAGCTGTTTATGAACCTTTGAAGCAATGGTTCATGGGAGTTTTATATCGTAACTTCCTAATTACCTGCAGCTAGCTGAACTGTTTAGCTAACGCTAGCTTGTACAAGAAAAGGAAGAAGTGGAGATTATAGCTTCCACTGTGCTATTTTTTTTATTTCCGTCTCCTCCTCTGCTCTAATGCTACACCAAATAACACTTCTGTTATCTTAGGAATAAAACACAACACTCTTTGCCTTTGCATTAGTGAATTTGCTCTTAGGTAAAGTTGCTACAAGAAGGTTTACAACCCATTTCCTGTATTCGATTTTGTTGCCAAAAAAAAAATTTCCTAACATATCTTTTCAAGAAAATGGAGTGTATTTCTTTTTTCACTTTTATTTTAGTATAACTTGCGGTAATTGTCACTAGATCAAGATTTTACAGAGGAATAGGAAATTGTTTTATACTATTTTCCTCATCCCAATAACAATTGTACAGTCCTTCAGTTTTTTTGACCACAAATACCACAACGGATTTACAGCACCAACAAACAAGAGGAAGCAGTATTGTGCTGCTTTGTTTCTGATTTTAGTTAATGGCTGTCGCATGCACATATATAGGCTTCTGTGAGGTTTGCCATGATGACCCGGTTAAGCTTTAAGCAAGGAGAGAAATGTCTGAAACATCACATCATCTGACTCTATATTCTACCTTTTTGTTCACTTTAATATATATTAACTGTTTGGGCAGTGGGTGTCAAGTGTGTACACTTTCATATCACACTCATAAATTGGAGATTCTGTTGGTCCTTGCTCGTTTCCGGAGTGGGGTGTAGAAGGGGTGTCTGTCCATCAGTTTGCCTGTCTGTTTTTCTCTCAGCTGGAGAAGAAGAAAGAGGGATGGGAGGATCTGATGCCAGCTCAGTCTGAGAAGAGACTGGCAAAAGATTTGCGTAGATTGCGTATGGTTTCAGCCTTCACCTCGTCCTGGCTAAGGCTGGCTCGGGGCGCTGGGGTTTCTGGAATGTTGAAGGTATTGGTAAGAGACTGGGATTTGCTATAAAGAGAGGGAAATGGCAATAGAGGAGAAGGAAAGGCTATTAAAGTCATGCAGCAAACCAATGGAATGAAAAGACTGGAGCAAGGCAAAGAGACAGATAGAGAGAGAGAGAGAGAGAGAGAGAGAGAGAGGAGGAAACACTCAGTAAAAGATGAAAAAAGGGTCATTCCTTCTCCGGGGTCATTCAGAATTACCTTATCATTTCAAGTCAGCATTGACATGATATGAATAGTGAATGACGTTGTTTGGATGCACATTGGTGTGTGTTTTGTCTGGGATTGATTGTGAAAATATTTTGTCAAAATACAAATGAACAGAAGCCAAATAAAAAAGGGGGCATCAGAAAATTGCCGGCTAAAGAACGGAAAGAAACTTGTACAGTGTAGTTGTATCTGTGAGTAATGGTCAGCTTTTGCTTTTAGACCTTTTTTGACAATCTGGTGCGGTGTTGGTGGTTATTTCAAAACCAGAAATATCCCACATACATTTGTCACGAGCCGTTTGTGACTTTTGCATTCTTGCTTTGTTGCAAAATCGACCTTTTTTTTATTTATTTTGCATAAGATTTATTTCAGAAAGCTTCAATAATTAAAACATCTTGCCCTGCGTCCGATAAAACACAGGAGATCCAAACTATGATACAACCATCATGTTTAGCCACCATCATATTTAGTAATGTGGATATGGTTTCTATTCTACAAATTGTGTTTCTCTTAATACAAAATTCACAACCAGTGTAATTTGAAACATAAAACGTTATCCATTAACCTGCCAGCTTGTTGGTATCATCTTAGCCAACTTCCAGGTGAACACCTCTGTCCTAGTATTAGCACATTTGGTCTTTAAAAGTAGCAGTGGGAAAGGTTCTCACTTCAGTGAATTCTGCAGGTTGACCACTCCTACAGAAGATAGAAACTGTTCTTAGCTTCATTCATTTCAAGATAGGCATGACATTTTTTTCCTTTTTTTATGTCTATTTTCTCATGTGCTCAGATATGCAATTCAACAAATAAAGGATTAGACTTTTATAAGTACCCCCGTTGTGTCAACAGAAGTCTTTACCAACCATTTATTAAGTTATTACCTGTAATTTGGTGTTTAAATGTGTCCCTGAGAAAGTTGCTTCAGAACAAGGATTTTAATACTTGTGTCACCTGAATTCCCGTTTGCTAAAAGCTGAATGTCGCTTTAATGTTTCACAACCTCACCAGACAATCTGACATGTTTCTGTTTTGTAAAACTAACTGCTGTATGAATGACCAATGTAGGAATCGATACAGCATGCACATTCAAGCGGATAGCCTCTGTGTGAGCGGATTTTTATTTTTTTTAATTTATGTTGTTTTACATGTGGCATGCATGCCTCAGTGCAGGCAAAAAGAAAAAAAAAGGTAAGAATAGACATTCTGTGGATGTCAGTTCTGAGGCTCGAAAAGTACAAATGAGATGGTACTGATCCAGTTCGCTGTTCTGTTCTGGTGAACGGTTACTTACTTTAGTTGTGGAGTGCCGCCCATAGCCGGGCTGTCCTGACTGGGCTTCTGTGGGGGCTGGGGCTTTTGCTGCAGAGGGGGGCGTCCCCCCGGGCCACCCTGACCCTGGGCAGCGGGTCTCGGCTGCTGGGTGGTTGGAGGCCCGGGACGGGTTGGCTGGACCTTCTGTGATCCTCCCTGTGACTGTTGTCTAGGGAGTGGGGCCGGTTTCTGCTGCTGCTGCCCACTGGGAGGTTTCTGACCGGCAGAAGGTTTCTGCTGCTGGGAGACGGACTGCTGCCTCTGAGTTTGAGGGGAACCTCCCTGGCTTCGCTGAGGAGCGCCCTGGCCTGGGGCTCGGGTTTGGGTTGAGGGGCCCTGGCTGGGCTTGGCCTGAGAAGCGGGCTCAGCGGTACCCGGGCTGGCAGCAGACTGCTGAGCTGGTGCGGGAGGCTGGCCCTGAGGCTGGGGCCGCTGCTGGGTCGGAGGACTTTGTTGAGGACCACCTGCAGGAGGTAAAATAGGGCACCGCTCATATTCGTACGCCGTGATATTACTTTGGTTTTGGCTTTTTCAGTAAATACCAAAGATCAGGATAAAGTACCCTGAGGGGAGGGGCGCTGTTGAGCCTGTGGCACTCTTGGCTGTGAGACAGGCTGAGGAGAAACTGCTTTCTGCAAAACAAACAGATGGCTCAGAAAATGTCGCATCTGCCACAATGTGTACAAATTATGCAGGTGGAAACGTCCTTATAAAAGATTAAAGTTGGAGGTAATTGTAACAACGCTAACTACTGAACTGTTATTTAAGTATGAACAACATCTCCATAGTACATGACCACTCTTATCAGTTTTCTACTTTAAATATAAATTGTCTCTATTTTCACATAAAGAGTAAAACACTGTAAATTGGAGAGGATGAGCACTACTTTAGTCAAACACAGACCTTCACACCTTTTCCTTCATTTCAAGAAAAAGCAAAGCAGAAACATATTGTGACAGGAGTTGCAATTGCAAAGAAAGATGGAGAACAAAAGAGTGTTTTTTTGTTTTTTTTCTTTGCTAGCATAAGCGTATTGTGCACGCAGTGTAAGCACCTGTGCCGGCTGTCCCGCTGCCGCGCGTACCGAGGAAGAACTGGGAGTACGTAGAACAGTCTCTTGCATCTTAGAAACCACAAGTTCTGCAATCTGAACTCGATCCTCATCCTGCTGGTCCCCAATCAGTGGCATCGAACAGTCGTCAACCTAAAATGAAGCATAATGTTTCAAATTGTAAGAAACACCCACGTGATGGTAGGCAAACATCAGCATGCTCGCACTGCAGCAAAGTACCTCAATAATGTAGTCTTTGCCATCTTTACCGTGTAGAGCCTCCACAGCACAGATGTCTAACCCGCCAAAGATGTCTGCGCATGAATCCACCCACAATTTGTACCTGCAACCATGTGGTCAGTATGAATTCAGTTATCCTGCGAGACATGCCGTTTGGATTTTAGTAGCGTTCAATCACGTCTTCTTACTTGTCTGACATGGCCACCTGCTCCAGCATAGAAGAGCCTGTGTTAGTTTTCCAGTTTCCAGAAATGGAGGTCCTCCTGGTAAAAAAAAAAAAAAAAAAACGCAGTTTATGACGCACTTCCAGTGAGGTGAGTGAGAGTGAAACGTGACATTCGAAAAACACAAACACAGCGAACTGACTCACATGTAAGCCTTGTAGTTGTTGCCAATCTTCTGGATGCGGACGTCGTACTTTGCGTCAATGAAAGGCTCGGAAGTGGCGTAGGTCTTGGTCAGCGCCACAACACTGGCGATATCTTGAAAGTCATACTGATTGTCCACTTTCACCTAGTCGGCAGGTGTGAAAACACGCATTTGTTAGTATTCGTTAGTCCCATATGCGATGTGTTCTACATAACATAAAGGGCTGATCATTCCATCCCTACCTTTCCCATTCCTGAGTGAGCATGGCCCATCTTTACGACAACAGGGTACTTAGGGGCGCTGATCTGTAAAAAAAAAACAAAAAAAAACAACAACATTATATTATGAACTACCACACCATTTGATCCTAAATCCAAAACTGATGGCATTTGAAGAAATTGGTTAGAAAAAAACAAAGTATTATCCTGGTAATTACGGAGTGTTATGTAAAATCCCCTTTTTTGAGCTTTAGATCATGTTATGATGTTATTCCTTCATCAAACCCAGACTATTATTTTGACTTATTCATGCACCTTTGAGGAATCTTAAAACTTCCGTGGCAACCATTCATAGGTACCTTTGACGCTCGCTCACATAACGCTCCGCCTATTTCCACAAAGATCCTCCTTGGAGCTTCAGTCTCCAGCCGAGCTTCCACCCCACAAAAGCAACCCCACCCACAAACCTCCACCAGTTCTTTTTATTTACCTAAGTGATGCTCAATTTGTCCTAAAGATCCAAAAGGAAAAACAATCCCGTTGCCATGACAGCACCACCATCAGCAGTCGATAGAAAGAAGAGTGGATCCATGCTTTCAGGTCGTTAGCCTAAAATTAAGACTGGTTCGATCAGGCGACATTTTTCCAATCTGACATTCTCTAGCTTTCTTGGGCCTTTTCGCTTCCTGTTGTTAGCTAATCTTCTGCTGCTGCGGTCTTTCTGCTTCAAGGTTCGCCAAGGTATGTTGGTTTTCCACATATCTTGATTGTAATGAGCTAAACGTGCCCTTTGTGTCATCTCAGCCAGTCTCGTCATTCTCTCCTAACTTGTGCCATCAACAAGACATTTTCATCCACTCGGCTCCCGCTTGCCAGATGTTCTCACTTTTTCAAATTGTTTTCTGTGAACGTGAGAGATGGTTGTGCATAAAAATCCCGGCCGAGGATACCTTCATTACGAAAATTGCTGAAGATAACCCGTGTTTTTGTAACATATCGTTTCTAATGATTAAAACATCAATCGCTTAATCCAACAGAGAAGACACACAGTCATTCTGAAGACTTGAAAGCCAGCCCAGTTCTGTCAGCCTGAGACTGCAGGGGTGTAGATGACTGCTCTGCAGCAACAACCTCAATGTTCCCGACACTGACTCGGCAGCCCAATAATCAGAAAACTCTGCCACGGCAAACAAAAAACCCAAACAGATATAAGCTCATGAAAGAAAAGTCAGAATGGCTTTAGCTGCTATGTGAAATAAATCATGAATTACAGCTGGACATCTGATGCCTCCGGGAGTGGCGAAGAGGAGATTTCAAGGAACTCACCATTTCCTTGTGATTTGGATAGTAAACCTGCTCGATCAGTGGGAACTCCTCCGGGCCCAGCTGCTTGTGGAGTCTTGACATCTGAGCAAACTGAGGGAGAATTCAACCTTGAGATGCCACTCCGATTGTCTGTACATCTGGAAGCTGCTCGCCGTGGACCGAACAGAGTCCGTAAGGACTACTTACCACCCACGGTTTGTCACAGAAGTTATAGACAGAGTGCAGGGTGTTAACGCTTGGCAGTCCAGCGTACTGCAGTCCGATCACCATGTTGCGATGGTCTCCGTTCCTGTCCATGCTGAAGGCGTGCTGCCTGATCAGCACAAAGTCTGGCCTGAAGGATCTGGCACAGAGGGCACGAGGGAAACATTGAATGGAATTGTGAGAACCTAAACTTTGCAGCAGGAACTCCAAACTAAAAACAGGACTTACTTAGTAACCTTATGCCCATTCCTGATGGCGTCCATGTTGACGTTATAGGTGCCGCTGGCGTTGGCCACTAGGTTGATCTCTGAGAACTCTGCCTGGGAAGAACAACATCAAATTCAAACCCTTTTCAAACGTATAAAAATTGCATTAACTGTGAGGGTGCATGAGCATAAATAATAGTTAATCCATCAGCCAGGAAGACTTCTTCTAAGCTATTTGTTTCTGAAGAGATTGATTTACCCATCTGACATGCTGCGAAATTAATACTAAGTTCATTTTGTCACATTACTCTGTGATAGACCAACACAAAAATCATTATTATTACAGGTCTATCAGCTCAAATCCAATTGAAATAAAACAAAGTTTGCAGCAGAACAAAATGTCAAAAGTTCAGGGGTATAAATAATTTTGCAAGACACTTTAAGTCATAGCCGAGAGTTAAAGGGACCAAAATACACACGGATAAAAGTGCCTGAGGCAGAGAAGATGATTTTTGAAACATCTGGGCGCATTCCTGCTCCTAGCATGCTATAAATAACCACCGGTTTAAATCTGCAACCACAAACACCACTGGGCAACATGTTTCTGCTAAAACTACTAGCTAAATTACTCCTGGTCAGTCATCGGGTCACATTAACAGGCACGGTTCTTGCGTACTGTATTGGATCATTCATAATGACTTCATAGTGTATTAATAAGTAAGAAAGTGTTTCACTGAAAATTAATGCAGCTGTGAGTATCAGCTCTTACTCGATAGTGAAACGGACCCTGAGACATTTATTGTTCGGAGCTCTCTGTGAACATGCCAGCTCATTAATAATGCCACTGCTTTTTTTTTTTTTTTTTTTGCCAAGAAAAATAAACTGTACACTGGGAGGCCTATTTCTGTTATAAGAAGATCGAAGGCAGTGTTGTCCATCGGCAAGCAAAACACGCTACAATCTCATGAAAAAAAAAAAGAAAAGGCATGCAACATCGCTCTCACTGAAGACTGCATCAGGTGAACTGCTTGGACGATTTCTTTGCCCTCGATCAAACTTTCGTTTTGTAAATTCACTCTCCTGCTGCGCAAATAACACTTAACAGTTGGGTTTAAGACCTACCTGTTCTACTTTGATGTCAAATTCACCGTGAATCTTTCGTCCTCTGAAAACCTTCACCCTGTTGAATGTGAAACAAGGAGGTGAATCGATGTGTTTGTTTATGTTTGGGAACAAAATGAAAAACAGTTCAAGCTTTTTTTCTTTTCTTTTTTTGTTTTTTTTGTTTTTCCCTCCAGCCCAAGCAGGACATGAAACTGGGAACAGTCTCATCTTTGACACATTCAGGCTGCTGACGCTTCAAATTAAATCTGAAAGCACAACTTAATTTTTTTTTTTTTTTTTTTTTTTGGGCGTTGGGATTTTCATTTGGTAGGGGGGCATTTTTTTCTGTTTTGTTTTTTGTTTTTTAAAACTTT